AATGAGGAGCATGGCTAGTCTGGTTACTGTCATACAGGCTGGAAATTATTTACAGTTTACGGGGGATGAAAACCTTGCTTTTTCCATACTGATGACAGGGCAATCCAACTCCCTTTTCCTACAAACTTCAAACAGCCATAGCATCTGTTGATTTAAACTTAACTCTGTCCATTAAGACTGTTTTATTTGTGACCTTTATTAGGTCAGCAGCAAAAATAAGTCATGAAAAATTCTTTGCTCTTTGCTTTTCAATTATAGGCTATTTCATTCTGTGGAAGCATTGATGGCTGGACTTGTTTGTAGGACCATTGGAGTGCTACAGGACATCATTTCAGTATATGCAACTACTACATATGTGGAGAGGACCATAAGCACAAATCACATTGACTTCTAGAGCATCAGACATGCACTGGCCAGATACAGCCCCCATCACCCAGCACAAGTCATTCTAGCTTTATGTAATTTGGATATGCTCATCTTTATCACTGCCTTAAGGGTCCAGCAACCACAAACTGAACTTGGGGCAGAAACTGGCTTTCCAGAGATACCTCTACTTTTCCAGTCGGTGCCTAATAAGAAGTTACCATTCCCACAGGAACAAGTTGCCATTGCTTATTAATACTAGCTGGTCTGGTAGATGCTCAGGCATATATGCCATAATTGAGAGGCTGTTGTGCTCTCTGTGCTTTTAAAAACATACCTTTATAGGTAAAGCAGTAGCTATACATACCAAAGGGAAATTTGGAATGTAAGACTTGCCTCTTATTTATCTTTCATTGCATATTCACATTCAAAGTTGTCTTTCTTCTCAACATTATACCATTGCTAAAAAAGAAACTAAAGAGATAAAGCCAGGGTTTCAGGGACTCTTTTTCTACCTCTTGACACATCAATCCTAAAAGATGTTTCTGAAAGGCAGGGACCCAGCCAAGGGAATCAGGAGCATTAGCCAATCATTCATGTAATGAGGAATAACTTAGAGGTGAATTAGCTACTGGAACTCCTGAGTCACTCACGTATGTTACCCAACTGGAAATCAGAGTGAGGAAGCTTAAAAGACAATAGCTGCCTTTCACAAAGGACCACACTGCAACCCTACAGGTTATGTGCCCTTTAACTGGAAACACTGAGCAAACAAATAAAAGGGAAATTCACTTCCCAACACCACCAACAGATACGGTTTAAAGATCTGCCCAGCAGTGAGGTTACCTTTGGAAAATACAATACAAGATCTTCAGTTTGGTACATATTCAATAAAATCAACAAGTTTCATAGGAAGGAAAAAACAAACAAATAGACAAACTTACATTATCAGCTCGAACCTCCCACCAAGACTGTTTCTAAGTTTTACCACCAGGTTCCCCATCCCCCCAGTATGGCAAGATAAGGAAATCCTGAATTCATTGCAGCTGGGCTGATGAGCCTTGTAATTAGGACATGCAGTGTGGTCTTTCAGGCGCCGTGAGAGCACTAACCCTTTCACTGCCAAAGCCTTTTTGCCTGTTCAAGCTCAAAATGAGACTCTATTTGAGAGGTATTATTGTCTACCATTTAAAGAAATAGGCTGGCTTTGCTAGTGTTGCATTGTGAACACAGAGTAAGTCATTGCTTTTGGTGGAATTCATGAGAGGAGCAATCTCCCTGCCACCTCCCAGATGAGTACTAATACACTTGAGACCAGAGTGAGTCAGAATGCATTTGTTCCTTCATCTCTGTTTTCTGTCTGAGGCCATCAACACTCTCCCTGGCACTCTAATCACCCCCCTGGACATCTCCTTTTGGTGTGAAGCTAATTCAAAGTTTTTATTCAAAACCCATCATAAAAATGCTCTTTGCAGCAGTGCAAATACTTAGTAAGGGCTGAATTGCCTGTTCTGCTCAATTGAGTGCCCCAGAAAGAAAAAAACCCCAAACCAAAACTGTTTTATGTATCTCAGCAATATTCATTCACCCTTTGTCTTTTACAATGACAAAATGGAGTCAATCACCATTTCATCACATTTGTTACAAGCCCTAAGCTTTCACTATTTGATTCCAGGGGCCAGGATGAACTTTCCCATTACCACCCTTATTATATAACTTGGCTTATGGGAATGGTGTATTTCCTCATCTCTTTCTGAAGAACTAGAGGTTTCCAGAGCTAGAAACAGGATGTAGCACCATTTGTGCTGGTGCTCTTTATAGCAACTTTCAAGTGTCAGATTGATGTGTTTTTCACATTGACTTGGAGTCAAACAGATTTAAGGCCATTTTCCAGGTCAGATTGGCAGGAACTGCTGAATCCTTTGCCTGACTATACCCAGAGGGATGGACTGCATCTTGGGATCATCTAGGCATTTTCCAAAGGAATGCATTGTTCTTTAAAGTACCAGTGTCATCAGCAATGTCCATCTTCTCCTTTACTGTCATGTTCTGTGATGTTATATTTGTTTCTTCCTTTTTACCACTGGGCCTCAGGATGATTTTAGGGAAGTGTTTCATGGTGCTGTGTGTGCACTGAATGTTTTGCTGTGTCCAGCTGTGGCATGCACTGCACAAGTGCCCTGCCAGCTGAACCAGGTGGCCACTTTTAGAGGAGTGTGCCACTCTTTGGCCACAGAACCCTTGGTGGCTGCTAGGTGTATGATTTAGTGTCAGTGCAGCCCATGGTCTGATGGGATCCCAGCCTCTGGCACAGCTTCTGGCTGCCACAGTTGAAATAAAAGTTTGTGAAGGTTTGCTGCCAAGGTGACAAACTGCACCTTGTTTTCAATATTGACCTGAAACTTGCCAGGAAGGGTTGGTGGAGGAGTGAGTAACAAAATACCCAGCTGTGGTTCCAAATTGCTCCCTTGCAATGAGGGCAGCAGCACAGTGTAAAGGATGTGTAGGAAAGAAAACAGTCATCACTGCATGCCATATGTTCAATTCAAAGCCCACTGTAGGCAGCTGACAGATATGTTTTGGTTTGTTACTGAGTTGGCCCTGGGGGGAAAAATAACAACCTCCTGATGGGCAGGAGTTATTCTGCATCCCCAGAAGATATTCCAGATTTCGGCAATAGGTAAAGAATTTGTGGCTTCATACGTTCTGCGTTTATACTTTCACCCTTCTATAAAATCAGATAGTAAGGAATTTGCAAAGCTACTAATAGGTGTAATGCAGGTGAAGTTTAAGAACCTCTTGGCAAGAGGATCTCTTAAAAAGAAGGATTTTATATTTTTCCAAGAGTATATAAGAGAAAGTGGCTCCTAGGGAGACAAGAACTTCTTGAAGACCCTTAATTAATACTATTTTGGCATTCACAGCACTTCCCCTTCCTTTTCAAAATCTGATGCCAAGAATTTCTCATTCCAATAGCATCCAATAAATCCTAGAACTAAATTCCAGTGACCATTGGAGGTCTCTTAGGTTGCTTGATGGCTAAAGCAGCTAAAAGCTTTTTATTCATTTTTGAAATACCTTTTCCTTTTAAAATCTGTAGCTTTAACCCCTGAAACAAAGTGGCTGATTCTCCTCTCAGCCACATCACCTTGCACAGCACAGAACTATGCTACACAGGATGTTTTAGCCCCAGGGCATATGTGAAGTCCCAGGTGAGATCAGATTCCACTCTGGGACCTCTTGAACTGATCCTGATGCTGTGCACCAGCTTCAGCTTGTCAGTGGGGGTCAGCATGTTGTGTTTGACTACAGTGCAAGTGGGTGAAGCAGATTACTAGGCTGAATTTTTCTGTACACCATCTGTGGAGGGATGGAATTCAGGGATAGCTGGGGCTCACTCAGGTATTTGTGCCTAGAGCTTTAATTTTTTTTTTTTGTATGCAGCTGCCACCCAGAAAACACTCACTGTGCAGGCACCCTGAATGTTTGAGATCTCTGAAATTAATTTAATTTCAAGTTCAGATTAATTTCACAAACTCTAAATCAATTTCAGTGCATGTCTTCAAAATATATATAACATGTATAAACACATGAAAACACCTATAAAGACCCCATCGAAATGTTAGAATTCAGTAAAATTACAGCACAGAGTCACAGATTGGACCTCTTCTTACCTACTTTCCCATAAGCCAGCAGTAATTCTCTGATGCAGGAGAATTACATGCGCTTAGCATTGCAGACCTAGGGTGGAAACACCATGTGAATTGTGTCCCATCATGTGAGGATGGAAAGGACACTCAACAGCTGGTCCTATTTCTACAGTCATTCATTATGTTAATTTTTAAAAGAGTTAATTTTCCTTTTGAACTCCACTAAGATTTCTTTTGGACCTTCAGTGGTTAAAGTGAATTAATCCTTCTTATCTCCATTAGGGAGAATACCTATTTAGGTGTTGATGGGTTTCCTGCTGTTCTAAAACTACTGAATAGCAAATTAGGAGCTACTGATTTGGATTTGCAGATTGAGAGAGTGAAGATCCTATTGAGGTGAAGTACAAAACCCAGGTATTTACTGTTTATCAGGAAATGTTTAAATCACAGCAGGTTCCCCCTGAGAAAATCCAAACCAGATGTAGCTCTCAATGCTTCTTGTTATTATTTGAACATGGGACTCTGTGTTGACTGTCTGATTAACCGGACTGGAAATTGGAAGTTACTTTGCATTTTTCTTGGTGTTCTTTCCTTTCTCTGACTTCAGTATTCTTTGCCAAAGTAGTTTTGGACACAAAAGGGTTCTGTTTTGTGAATTGTTCTTTCAGCTTTTTTCCTGCATAATCTAACTGTACTATGAATGCATTATGGCCAAACACAAGAAAGCAATCATTGCTTAATGGAAAGGTTGCTCTAAGAGAACCATGGCAAGCTCAAAATTTCCTCAACAGTGGGGTGACCAGCTCCATTGCTCTGCCATTGTGAAGCCTGTATATTGCTTCCCTCAAATGTGTAGCCATGTTCCTAAGAAAAAAATAATCACTTTGTTTTTCCTGCTATTTTTATCCATCCCCTATTCAAATCTCCCCCAGAACAATCCTTAATACAGTACTATGTTGCATGTGACTTATTTGTTTTCTTTTGCAGGCTCTGAGCAGCAGTCTCTACAAGAGTGCATCCCCTTATGGCTCCCTTAACAACATTGTGGATGGGTTAAGCTCCCTCACTGAGCATTTCTCCGACCTATCCCTTTCTTCAGAAGCCAGAAAACCCAGCAAGAGGCCACCTCCTAACTACCTGTGCCACCTCTGCTTTAACAAGGGACACTACATCAAAGACTGCCCCCAGGTAAGTAATATACAATATCCTGAAAAAATATGCATCAAGATTTTCTTCAGTCCTTGATTTAGCAACACAGAATTTGACTGAAATACTTCAGAGTGAGTAACACTGAAGAAGTATCTTGACAAAGTGCCAAGCTAGCCACGTGTTCCTTTAATCTATTCTTTATCACTATGCTGATAGACAAAGTACACTATTTCATTTGCCTTGTAAGTATTACAGAAAACATTAATGTAGGCACACAGCTGAGCAGATTCTGGTAACTTTAAAAATGGCTACTCTGTAATTTTCTGTCGGGCTGCACTCTGTGTTATCAGTTTGGCAATGGCACTTACTACAATAAGTTACATATGCTAAAGGAGAAGAAATTGTTACATTCAGAGAGAACTTTGAATAAGTGTTGCAGTAACACAGGCTCCAGGTATTTTGGGTGCAAAGTCTTTTTTGTCCTACAGTAGAGGTTTGCTGTACTTCGCAAAATGTGAAGGTCTTGGACTCCTAGAACTTTTCTGTAGTGGCAGAGCTGGCAATATTTATTTCCTTCAAAAAGAGGTATAAACCAGTGTGCACTAAAAGCACTTGCCAATCTACAATTTTTTTTTTCCCCTGAGGCTCCTAAGTGCAGTGAACCAGGTTTCTTAATTTTCTGGTTTCAGCTGGATGCAGTTGTGTTGCTGGCTTAAACTTTCACAATTTCAACAACATCCTATGTAAAGTCCCAAGGAAATTAAAATGCTGCCAATACTCTAAAAACACAGATGTGGACATTACCAGCATCCACTTCATTATGACTTTAACCTCCTAGCCTCTTATTGTGTGACTTTCAGCAGAATTAATCTGCATAAAAATTAACTACAGTTAGTTTGCTATTGAGGATGTCAGACATTTATAAACCAAATACAGGCAGAAAAACATCTGCCAGCAGAGGAAGGAGAGCATGAAATCAAGACTAACATCAGATGAGCTTTGAGTGTATTCCTCTTGCTGTTATGCATAGACTAACTTTATCACTTTCACTGTATATATTTCATTAATTCTAATGAAATATGAATTAAAGTATATTTGCAGTCTTGGGTGTGGCACTTGAAAATATTTTTCTTCTTATTTTGATCTAGGTTGAGTAAGAATTTTCTTTAGGAAAAAACTATGACATTTTCTTTCCTTCTAGGAGATCAAAAGTACTCTGGTTTCTTTACTTAAAAGTTTAATCTACTTAATTTAGCATGTTACAGAAGAATGTAAAGATAGAACCATGTAATAGCATACATTACTTAACAAGAGGATTGAAACTCCAACTACTAAATATGTGGCAGAGTGAGAAACTGTTGGACTGGGGGTGGATGTTTGTGCTTTGCCATGCTGTGTGAGAAAGCCAATGAATGCTGCAGGTCTCTTGACAATCAGTATTGCAAGCTGCAGCTCACACAGACCAAGTGAATGTGTCAGTGTTGGAGCAGTAATGCATTATTTATTTCATGGGTATTCTTAGGGTTTGAGGCACTAGGGATTAAACATGTTAGTGAAAATTGAAGACATGCACACAGAAATCCAGGAGATACGAACAATTTAGGATTGTGTAGTAACACTAATTCTCTTAAATTGCACATCCTGTATATATATTTTTTCAGACTTAATTTGTCAAGTCTTCAATTTCTCTGTGAACCAGGAAGTGGAAAGACTTCCTACTGGCATGCTCTGTGACTATCCTGTGAGTTTGGGAGGAATGAGTAAAGGAACCCAGGACAGGGAAACATCTGCTTGCTCACCACATGCAATCTATGGTTACAGGCAGCCATATCATATAGCTCCTTTTGAAAACTGATCAGGTTTTACTTGGGAAGCATTTCAGTATTTTGCCTTTGCTACTGCTGGTGTGGGAAGCTGCTCCAGAACCTCAGTCCTCTCCTAACTAGAAATCTTCCAATTTCTAGGGTGAATGTAACTCATGGCCACTTTATAGTCATTTGTTCTCCTGCCAACATTGTCCTCCACTGAAATAGCTCTTATCCCTCCCTGGTGTTTATCTCAGGATGTATTAATAGACTGCAATCATATCCTCTCTCAGCATTCAATCACATCCTCTCTCAGCTTTCGTTCTGTAGGACTAACCAAGCCAGGTTTTCTCAGTGTCTTCACACAAAGGATACAGAGCCTCTATTCCCCTGGCCTTCTCAAGGCTGTTCTTTTGTGCTTTTCATCTCCTTGCTCGTGCATGGCCACACGTACCTGTGGCATCCCAGAGCAGAGCTTTCAGTGCCTTCTGCTCTGTGTGCACAGTTCTGTTTGTGCTAGTTAAGGAACAGCTGATATGAACTTGATTCTCTTTAACTGGAGATTTCTTCTACCACAGGCAAGTGCTTTCTGGTTTAATCAGCAAGTGCTTTCTTGAGGAAAAGCAGAGTTAAGCATTCACAGAAACATACCCACTTTCCTTATGTTATCTGAGATGAGGACAGTTCTAAAGAGGATGACCCTGTGTACACAAGCTATGTTCAAAACATTGGGCACAAAATGGGAGCAGCAATGGCAGGACCAGGCTTTTCTCATAAACTCTCCATTTGTTACCACTGTTTTTGACAAGAACTGATTTCTTAATTTGAACATTATACACATTGGTTAATATCTTAGGTTCGATGCTTAGTTTTGCTAGTGCTGTCAAAAATAAGTTGTTCAGCAAATCCTACCACAAAAAGGGCTGTAGCTATGTGTTTTTAAAGTCCTTAAACCTGGATAAAGAAAAGAGATAAACCAATCTGATCTGGAAAAAAAGTGTATCAGTAAATCATACAGTATTTTTTCTTTTGTTTTTATGAAACTGCCTAATAAGAAACACATTTTGAAATGGGGTGTTCTATGAAGTTTTTTCTGCATAGCAAAGTAATTGTGTAACAGCTTTAGGGCTTAATACCCTCTCTTAATTCTGCCTGTTATCACCACTGAAAATATATGTTGTTTTTCTGTTGTTGTAAAAGTTGATGAAAATGCATGTATCAGTTCAGATTTATATCTTAAGTGATGATCGTATTCCAGGAGGTTAAATAATTACAAACAAAAACTGCCAGCTTTAGTTTTTAAGTTTTTAAGATACCTCTTGTATCTGCCATTTCTCTAATATTGTGTCCACAACATCTGTTTCAAAATTGAAATGGGATTTAGCAGACTTCTATTATTTTACCATGTAGTTTGTGTCATACATGGTGATAGAAAGTGTTCTTTTCTGTTTAGGAAACTACCAGAAATAAGAACAATGTTATGATTGCAATTCATCATTTCCAATTTGCCTACATTTTCAAAAAGCTGTTTGTTGCAGTAATTATGTCCATAAAAATCCCAACACTAATCTTTAGTATCATCTTTATAGCATACCTACATTTCTTCTAAAACTAATTTGTGAGTTTCAGTGGCTTAGACAATAACATCTTACTCATATCTCTCTAATGTTCTTGCACATACAGAATTCTCATTGACTTGAATGAAGTGAAAAAAGTGTAGAGAATAAAGGTTAAAAGCAGTGTTCTTAATATAGCCCTGCTCTTAAATTATCGTTGACAGTGCCGTAAAAAATAAACAAGATCTTTCTCTTTAAATAGCAAGGAAGGTAAGGAATGAGAGTACTTTTCCTATCTGGTTTACAAGCCGATTGCATTATATATATATATTTTTATATATATATATATAGGTGTGTATGTGTGTGTGTGTATATAAATGTGTGTTTACATATATATATATATATATGTATATGTATGTATATAGATCTGTCAAAACTTTGTACACTTATTTGTGTACCCAAAGATACTGCACCTATGCCTCATGACCATAGGGGCTTTTTTTCCCTACCAGGAAAAGAAAAACCAATGAGTTCTGGACCAGTAATATTAAAGATATATGATTCTATGTGACCTTTTTTTGTATAGCAGGTATAGAAATTATTAGAAGATCTTGTAAAAAAAAGTTACATTGTCTTTTTTCACCCATTATCACTATATCTTTATTTTTAAATCCTATAAACAGTGAGTTCCTTTGTACCAAGTATGACCTACAAAAATGAATCTTGCTCCTTTAAATTGTTAAGAATGTTATTGACATGAATTCTCTTCCTTGATGTCATCAACCTAAATTCAGACCTATCATAGAGGTTTAATTTGCAAAAGTATAGAATAATGGGGTATGGTATCTATGTCTAGATACAGTCTATGTAGACTTTTGTAAATAAAGCACCTAGTTCACATTCTACGATGTTGCTGAGTGAAGGAACCTTTGCCATTTTTCAGAAATCTGCTTAGGAAAGTAAACACACAAATCCTGGACCTCATTTTATGCTTATGTCATTCCAGCTGTTAATTTAATAAGGAGCAACAGAAGCCCAAGTTCAGAGCTCCAGCAAAGCATCTCTGTATTCAGAATTTTCAAACTGCTCTACCTGGTGTCTCTGCCCTAACTGTATTCAAATACTGTGCCAGTGCCAAGCTCATTGAAAAACCTTTCTGACAATTCCTGTGAATTTCTGCACAGGCAAGGAACCCTTACCTCATGGTGATGTGGTGGGGAAAGTAAATAGGCAAACATTATTGTTCTGTAGTCAAATTCCCATGCACTGGCACTATTTATCTCAGTTTCTGGGAGACAGAAGAATGTTGCACAGTGTGTTTCCCAATTTTACATTGTACTTACAGAGGAAAATGCCATGTGCATGCTCACAGGAGTACAGACATACATGCAATGGGAAGCTCAGTCTCTTTCTGCACTGCATGTTTAAACCTGTGGCTGAACTGCATGGCATGGTCCATGCTAATGGGGCCAACAGTGGGAGTCTTTCCACTGCCAACAGGGATCTTTGAAGCAGACCCTGTAAAACTGAAGTGCCTTGAGAGCACAAATTCAAGTCAATAGGAGCAGTAGGTAATTGCTGTGGCTGCTTGAGTTTGCAGAGATTTGCTTTTGTGGTTTCATGCAGGATGTGGAAGAAATCAGTGTCAAGCTGAGTTCAGTCCTTTCTTCTTAGCCCC